CACACAGAGCCACTTGGCCCTGAAGAGTATCCCCGTGCGGGCTACACAGATCTGGAGGGCCGGAGACAACAATGGGCGACTCACCCAATTATGAACTTCATCTTGCCCTTTCTCGCTGCCTCGACAAGGATGGGGACCAACTGGGGGTCCCTTGGGCCGAAGATGCTATGGGGGCGGATGGCTGTGGTGAAGAAGTTCCGCTCGGGATCATTGGCGCTCAGGACTGTCTGAAGGAACAGGAGAGGAGCGTGTCGCTGTGAGTCTGCCACCTCAGGTACCCACCCACCTCAGCCACTGCCACCCCATTCACCCCCACTCTGACAGTGCGAGGGGAGACGGCGGGTCCCTGGCAGGGAGATGTGGAAGACAGGAGGGTTCCAGTTATTGAGTCGCCTAACGGGGGCTGACTGGAGTGACATGTGCCAGCTACACGTGTCCCCCAGGCCTGGGCTATTCAGTCAGTGCCAAGTGTGCCACCTTGTAGGAAAGCACTCAGGCCTACCAGTTTCTAACAATCAGAGATGCCCTGCCACCTGCCTCCTGTCTCCTACTGAAGGGAAGAGAGAAAAGGGCCCGGGTCCCAGTGCATTTGGTCACGCTCCATGGGAAGGTTAGAAGCTGCAGCAGGTGGTGTCCTCCGCCGACAGGAGGCTCCAGGTGAGACATCTGCCCAAAACCCCGAGCAGCCGGGCCAGGCTGATCCTGGAGCTCCTGAGTTTACATGGGCTCGGCTGGGAAGGAGCCTGGGACCGCAGATGAGAGTGTACAGGGTCTCCAGGGTCTAGGCCGAGTGGGTCAGTGCTCCACAGATAAGGGTGGCAGAGCTCGGCCATCGTGTCTCCCAGAGAGCGGTTCTGTTGGAGCCTTCTAAGAGGCAGTCACGCCAGCCAGCACTGAGCTCCAGGTGGGCAAGCACTGGCTCTGGGAGAAGAAGCCTCGGTGGCTCAACACACTGTCAACACCGGGGCGAGGCAAGGCCACAGGTCCCCAGGGAAGGTGAGCTACCTGGGGCTCAGAAGGACCCATGCCCTGAGTGAGCAGCTGCCAGGGTCCCCGCAGCCCCAGCACCCTGAA